GGAAAAGACCTAACCCCATAGTTCTCCTTTACCCACTTGAAGTCAGCGGTACACCCTCTTCCTGTCCCGGCCAATTTTCAGTATTCAGCACTGCAGTACTATGAATTACATTTATTCCGTCATGCAACGCTGTACTGAAATCAATTTTATAAAATTTTTTGGGAACAGATAGAGCTTTATTTTGGTGGTATTTAATATTTACTATGGTAAGGAAAAATTACCAAAAATTTTTTTTTTTAAACTGTTTCCCCTATATTAAATTATAAAACATTTATTATTACCCTATTTTTTTGGTAAAATATAAGAGTCGGGGGCACGATGGGTAAAAAGACACCAAACATGTTAAGCCTTAAAATTGTGTGTGCGTGCAAAACCTCAAAAAACGACAACACCCAAAATTGGCCATAGGCGACGCTTTAAAAACTTTTAACGCTCATCAGTTTAGTGTTAGCAGTGATTGATGAATTATTGCTCTCACTGCGACGTTTGCGGCGATATGTAAAATGTGTAGCGCAATTGTCGTTTTCGTGCATTGGCGCATCTGATGCGTATTTACGTTTATATGTGCGTAAACGTGGGGGTGGGTGACTTAAAGATGTAACTTCTTTTTTTTTTAATTTTCTACTTTTTTGTTTTTTAATTATGCAGGGATGCATGCAGATCGTATCAGGGCTGTGTTTGGGTCTCACCAGGGCTGCATTTGGGTCTCACCAGAGCTGCATTTGGGTCTCACCAGGGCTGCATTTGGGTCTCACCAGGGCTGCATTTGGGTCTCACCAGGGATGCATTTGGGTCTCATCAGGGATGCATTTGGGTCTCACCAGGGGTGTATGCAGATCCCAGAAGGGATGTGTGCAGGTCTCACCAGGGATGCGTTTGGGTCTCATCAGAGCTGTGTTTGGGTCTAAGCAGGGCTGCATGCAGATCTTAGCAGGGATGCATGCAGGTCCCAGCAGGCATGCGTTTGAGTCTCAGCAGGGCTGCGTGCAGGTCTCATCAGGGATGCTTGCAAGTCTCACCAGGGCTGTGTGTGGGTCTCTCCAGGGCTCTGTGGGTGGGTGCCGGGCTCTCCAGGGCTCTGTGGGTGGGTGCCGGGCTCTCCAGGGCTCTGCATGCAGCTGCTGGCCTCTCTATAGCTGAATGGTTGGGACCAGGCTTTTGCTTGGCTCCAGGTCTGTGCTGGTGGGTGTGGGGCTGTCCTGTGCTGTGCCGGCGCTGGGAAGAAGGAGGCGGCAATGTGCAGTCAGACAGGCACTATCAGAGACAGCTGCTTGAGGTCCCCAGCAAGCTCAGGGAAAAAATTTAAAGGACCAGTATTGGCTGTGCCACCCTGAGGCTATGGCCTCAGTGGCCTTGTGACCAATCCGGCCCTGCCTAAGCTCTTTCCTTGGTCTCAGCCAAGAATAGAATCAGTGGTGACAAGCAAAGCACAGGCATCCCCAGGCCAGGTATCAACCACTGGGACATCGTCACGCACACAGGTATTGATGTCACACGTGTATTGGCATCACGCGCACTTAACTGCCAGCGGCCATCTTGGTGATGGACGCTGACAGAGAGAGGAGACGACATTCATTCGGTGGGATAAAGTATGCCGCCGGGTCTCGTGCAGCTGTCGTGCCCAACTTTTCAGACCATGTGGGCCACACCCCGCACCCCCCTTGATGTCACTGTAATGCCAGAGGGGAGTAGGTTACATGTTCCTTCATACCAGAAGTGCTGGATAGCATAGTCAGCTGCAACAGAGGAAGGAGCACAGGCAAGATGGGTATTGGAGGGTCGGCCCTTTACAAAGACGCTAACTTTTCCCTGCATGGGCAAGGTGTCACTGTCTCTTTAATTATTAATGCTGTAATGCCAAAGTGTTATACCCTCAGTATTCCATTCCATCAATATTTTCACAGGAACATTCAGGTAGAACTGGCATTGCTTGATGTTCCTCCTTTAATGATTACTGACCAAGAACACTGTAAAAAGAATACTGTTATGTTGTCTACTTTCTGCACTGCGAGCCAGAAAGAAAAAAAAAATCATGCACTTCCTTGTGCTTTATTCTTGGGAGATGTGTTAAACATGCCTAATTTCCATTTTTAATTTGCATTTTAATTGCCTGTCTCAGTCTTAAATGAGAAGGGTAATCAGCAGAGAACTTTCGGAGTCTGGCTGGCTTGTACAACATTCAAACCGCATAGAAAGAACAAAAATGTAATTTTACTATTTACTTTTTGCACAATAGTTTACCAAAGTTAAATGTGTATAAACTATTTCTGTAATAATGGGTTAAAGGGCCAGTGGATATTTAGGATGAAGGAAGAGAGCTGTAGGAGTTTGGTGGCAGCAGTACCAATTTCCAAGTCAAGAAACTTAAAGGACAACGTCATTTTTAGTGAACAGGCCCTTCAAATAAACCCACACCCCCCTGGGTGTAGCTGGCATAGCTAAATACTTACCTTATCCCTGCTCCTGAGTTCTTCACTGTGGGGCCCTGCCCCTGATCCATACAGTCTTTGCATCCAAGACATCCTGGCTAGGTCCAATGCCTAGTGTATGCACCACGGACACATTCATTCCTATGGAGGATCAATATTCAGGCCCGGATTTCCCACGAGGCCACCGAGGCCCGGCCTCGGGGCGGCAGAGCGCAAAGGGGTGGCAGCAGTGACCTTGTGAGGAAGTTGCGGGCGCCGGTGTAAGGTGTCCAATCACGACGGGGCGATGGGGGAGTAAATCCGGCCCTGTCCATATTCATGGTGCCCAGACACCCAGCTAAGTATGGACCATCCATACAAATGAATGGGGCTGTGGTGACAGTGCTAACTAGGCAAAGGACCTGGCCGGGAGGTTTTGGATGCAAAGGCTGCATCAGCCAGGGCAGGCCTACAAAACTTGGGAGAAGGGATGATAGTAAGCATTTAACTATGCATTTAAATACTATTTAAACATCAGTGTACTTCTTGTGCCTTCAGCCTTATAGCTGTATATTTGCAGTGTAAGATCATGTAAAGCACTGTTGCCTTTGACTGCTAGTCTCAGTGGATTGGACATGAGGTTTGGTGATGTCACTATTGTTCTGCTTACAGTACTCCTTGCTGGAGAGGAAGCTGTACCTGGGAACCTGCAGTGCAAGGCTCTCCCTGCTTCTGTTTCACTAATTCTGTTGATCTGTGCTCCTCCACCTCTCCTGCTGCTTCTTCATTATCACCCCATCAGGACAAGTAATCAGATCATCAGTGATCAGGGGGCAGCTCCAACACGAGGAAGCAAAGCCCTGCCTCTACAAAGATGGTCGGAGGCATGGTACAGCAAAAGACACGATAACTCAGTAATGGGGAACATATCTGCTGTGAGGGGACCACAGACAATACTGGTGACTAGTCCTTTGCCCTCCGCTTGACTTTTTGGCCACAGCTTCTATAACATAGGTTCTCTTTAGGACAGACCTTTTAAGAAAACTTCACATTGCCATCTTGAAATTATTTTATTTACATAGAAGAATATATAAAGAAAAACAATAACAGCATACATTAAAGGAAACCCATCATGAAGGAAAATAGAGCTACCGGTCTCCCCTTCTGAAAATGTTGTATGGCTGCTGTACTTACCCATTGCTTCATTTCTTTGGGTCAACGACCCTAAACAAGTATACAGATAAGGAGTTCTGACTTTGCTCTCACCTTCCTGATCTGCATACTGGCTCCAGATCAGTGATGTAGAAAGTACTAAAACTAGAGGGTCAGCATAACAGCAAATTGACTAGCATTTTAAAGAGGTCAGCAATGGCAACCCCATTATTCTCTGTTGACAGATTTACTGTACAGATGATTAAAAAGAGAAAAGCAAATTTATTGGCATTCAGAGTTATACAACAATTCAGCTCCACAATAAGTATTAACTGTGCTTTGTAGAGGAGGCGCAGCTACTTTGCTGCAGAAGTGGTGCAGCTACCATGCTGCAGACGTGGCGCAGCTTCCATACTGGAGGGAGAAAGAAGCATTTACCGTGCTCCAGAAGTAATGCAGCTACCATGCTGCAGGGAGTGAGGTGCAGCTACCAAACTGCAGAGAAAGAGGTGCAGCTACCAAACTGCAGGGAGTGAGGAGCAGGGAGTGAGGTGCAGCTACCAAACTGCAGGGAAAGAGGTGCGCCTCAAAAACTTAACAGAGCAAATGAAAAGGTTTAGAGGAATCTCGTCATGGTAACTCTTCCTCTACTTCTGGTCTGTACAGAGCTGCTCAAGTATCTGTCCATGAAGTTTTACATCATAAAGTCCATTGTCCCCATACAAAATGTTTTTATTCCAGTAGCTGTGCTTTTCAAAATCTCAGCAACATTTTCACCCTTGGCAAAACGCAAAATGTAGATTTTACTTTAGTTTCAGTCTCATCGCATCAGATATTTACCGGAGAACGCCAAGAAAATGTAAAAAAAAAAGTTTTAAAATATGAAAAGGCATTGTCTATGTTTTAAATTGTGCTGTGCTCATTTAAAGGTTATCCTTCCTTATACTGAATGCCCATCATCCTCGGCAAACCAGTTGACATTTCAAATAAGGCTGGCAGCTGGCATGTCTCCATTGGCTCTCTCTGGGTGTTTTATAAGCGGACACAGAGATCAAGCATGTTTCAGGTATTTGACATAAAAATAACTGTAGGCTTAGAAGATGGTGCCACATCCTTTAGATTGAAGCAACTCAAAAGCAAGGTTAACCCCGATAGGGTAAAAAAAAAGAGAATTTACAGCAGTCATCATGATTGCTATTTGACAGGAGTGGCCATTTAAGGAGGGGCTGGTGTAAACTCATTCGATGGTATCGTCCTCGTCTGGGTGGTTCCTGTGGTACAGGCTGGTCGTGCATAGCCTGCATGCTGGAATATCCAATAGAACATGTCCACCTACAATTCTGATAATCTGTTCACCGTACTCATTAAGGTGCAGACAGGAAGTCAGCGATGGCCACTGTAGTTACATGGGAGCCAGCTGATGATTCCTATATATATACGTTGTCGGAGTCACGTGTTCCTTGGATTCGGCAAATCAATTACTATAGGAGGATTAACCGGCTGATAATTCACAGTACATACTGAGGAATTGACGTACGTAGTGGTCCCATCTGCCATTACGCCATAACCTGCAAGAGATACGTCACAATACAGAGTTTACAGGAATATCAAACTATTTTTAGTAAATATCACTTTTATTTCCAATAGTAAAGCACAGAAGAAAAATCACGTGCTTGTTGCTTGCACTTGCATGTAGAGAATACTTTCAAATATACTGAACTCCAGACACACAGCTGAATACACAGATGAAATACATATATAAGAACTGTTTTACCTGCCAGAAAATGTGTATTTCAGTCCATACAGTGCTGAGATTTACACAGCTCTGCCCCTAAGCGCAGCCCTGGTAAGCAGGTGAGGGGACCTGATCTTTTTCTTCTGCAGTTTCACTTTTACTTACCGCTCCCCCCCATCCTCTCCTTTTTGAATACCCCAGTGAGCATCACTCTTCCTTCTGCTTCTATCAGCATGCCCCTTACACTGCAGCACATCCGATTGGTTCCTTGTGCTGCTTCTCCCTTCCCCTTGCTAACCTCTGTAGTACAGCATACTGCAATAGGATACCAAGTCAAATTTGGGTATTTGCACTGCTTGCATTAAAAAAAAAATGCCTTCATTGATATAATGATGGATTAAGAGCTGCAATAATTTGTGTCTTTTATATCTGCATGGAGTTCAACTTTGAATCTGAACTCCGGCACAAAGGAAAATCACACATCCTGTTGTGTAATGGCCATGTGAATATTACAGTTCTGTCTTACCAGCTACATCTCACTGGTTCTTAAGAAATAAAGGGACTCCATAAGACGGGGTTCCTCCTCATTCTTTATGTCTTTGTGTAGGAGCAGCAAAGCCAAGGCAGTCTGGTCCATGAAGCGCCCTCTGCTACACTTTTGACTTCAAGATCAGCAAAATTACATTACATCAGAGTGGAGCCCAAATGGTTAAAATGGCCAATGTTGATGCCATAGGATAGACTGGAGGCAGTGGCACTGATGGCCAGAGATGCCATTAGGGTTGGTTTCACCTGTGTGGTAACTCATGCTGCCCCCCTAAAAAAATAAAAATAATAATTTAATAATTAGATGATAGAATGTCTCCCCTTGTGCTCATTCTCCTCTGTAGCCTGGCTTGGGACAGCTGGGACAGGAAATGCTGAGTACAGCGCTCCTGTCTCACTGATCACACAGAGCAGATCGGAGAACTGAAGTTCTCCAGACTGCTCCCCACTCTCCATCCTGAAGTAATTTGCAGTGCCGATAAAATAGTCCCCTGTCCTCACAGGGTCTTGGAGTGGACTGAGACCGGGCGGTGCACTGTTACCCCCTGGCGGGTGTCACCCAGGTGCGGTCCACACCCGCCACACACCCCCAGTGACACCACTGCTGAAGGCTGATATTTTGATTATCCATGAACTACCCAATCTCCACTCACAGCAAATCTCCCAAATCCTTCCATAGGATGATTTAAGTGCAAGGGGTGTCTGTAAGTCTCAAGACATGCACATGTAAAACCCTTCCACAATTTGATACTAGGAGCCATCATGCAACCCATACTTTGAAAAAAAATTATGCCATTAAGGTAAACTTTACAGATTTAATATATAAACATTTTTAATTAATTAATTAGATATTCTTATACACTACTAGTTTTTTTTTTTAAAGAGCCAAAGTTTTACTTTAAAGAAGAAGTATACTCTCCACTTAAAAAAAGAAAATTTGCTGCAACACTGTTATTTTTTTCCCTTCTCCTGCAGTCTCACAAATACCTGTTGATGTTACAGTCCACCTATTGCAGCTTCCTGTTATGAAGGGACAACAATGATGCACTGCTGTGGAATTCAGCTGCATTGTCCCTCATGTAGGGTAGGACTGTTGTTTGCACTACAGTGAAATAACATGTAACAGGGGACATGGCTATCAGCACTGTCACTGCTCATTCACAAAACTGTAGCTTGTCAGTCAGCACCTGGCCACACCTTCTGCCCACTGCTTTTGCTGAAACCCTCCCACTGTGAGCTGCAGTGCCTGGAAGTTGGAGCATGTGAGACACAAATGAAGGAGGATTTGGTTGACTCAAGAAGAAAAAGAGGTTTGTTCTTTAATTTATGGGGTTGCATCACATAGCAACTGAATATGAGACCTCACTAGACCGCCACACAGGAATCTTTACATGTATGTTAAATATCATTGAGAGAAGGAAGGATGTGCAGCAAATATGATGCAAGCAAAAAAAGGTAGAAAACTTGCACTTGCATCTTAGGCCGGGCTGCATAAAGTGTATAATAAATGGCCCAGACTCACCTTCATGGATGTGACCAAACACGTGCAGTCTTGGCTGTACTCTTCTCTGTACTGTGTTTAGCAGCTCCACACAGCCCACCCGTTGTAATTTTTTGGGCACCCAGTCTAAAAATCCTAAAAAGAGAATTCAGCATGTTAATGATTGCTGTAAGGTCCAGAATAATATTTCAAAAAGCACTTGTCACCCACAGACAGCTGAGATGACTAGTCCCAGGCCAGTCTACTGATTACAAATAGGGATATCACTCCACCAGGAAGTACAGGGTTCCTAATGCCAACCTATAACACCCACAGTTCATAGGAAATTGCTAAGCTAAGAATTGGGCCAGCCTTGTTTCTGTTTTGTCACATTATGACATACCCACTTAAATCCCTGAGCGCTGGTGACATCGCCGCTGCTGTTCACTTGTGAAAGGACCACTTTGATAAAGGAACTTTTAACACACCTTACCATCTTTATATTTGCAGGCAAATCAAACAAGTTTGCAAATTTAACATTTCACCTTTGTTCCCTTTCTCCTGCTGCCCCTAGAGAGCTCTGTCGGGATCCTCAATTGATCTGCCAGTTCGGATTTTCTTTTATAGCCTGATATAGCAGACGGCAGGTATCTTCAAACACAGAAGTAGTTCTATCAAAGACAACATCCTTGGCATCCATCTAAATCAGTGGTTCTCAACTCATGGGTCGCGACCCAAAAGTGGGTCGCGACACCTTCTGCAGTGGGTCGCGGCGTCCTTCCTGCAAAGAGCGGCCCATGTTCAGGAGGGAGACATAGAGGGACATGTTCACAGCCCCCTGATCTCCTGCAGGGATGGGTGAGGAGAAGTGACCCTTCTTCAGAACTCTAAGCTGTCTGTCTTGCCTCACCTCTCCCTTCAGGTTTACTTTTATTTAACTATACAGCTGCCAGCCAACGCGGGTGCTATAGATCCCCAGGACCATCATGGGGACTGAAGGCCTCTTTGAAATGACCAACCAGCTGTGAGTAATAGACAACTTTTCTTTAGGTGCACTTACTCCATGAAAAATGTTGCTGCACAGAACAAAATAAACCAATTAGCACCTTACTGGGGGAAGGTGCATGAAAAGTCACTTCTGGATCATACAAATTAGCTTCACCTTAATCATTTCTAAAATGGGTCTTAGAGATATTTGCTTGTTAGCCATCATTAATAACAGAAAATAGGACTCTATGATGTCACATGGATGTGTTACCACGAATGAACACCTTTTGTCCTGCTGAGAGGACGTGAGGTTCACTTAACATGAGAATAAAATGTACAAGCTCTGGCATAAAAAAAAATCTTTGAAGGAAGGAAAGTTGGCCATCAAATCTATTGTCCAACTTTCATTGTTCCCTACTGCACTGCAAACATACAAGGAAAATAATATTGGTTGCTATAAGCCTCGTGATCTGCCTTTACTTCCGGTTCAGACATTTTGATGACATAGACAGACAGACAGGAAAGATAGGATAGATATACTCTATCTATCTATCTATCTATCTATCTATCTATCTATCTATCTATCTATCTATATATCTATCATAGATAGATAGATACATTACTACTTCTATTGTTTCAAAGCATCAGCCTTTCTCCTAGATAACATCAGTGGATGTGTCATTATACGTCAGATGGGCCATTCTTTTGAAGTTTTTCATCCTCCGTGTGACTAATAGCCATCTAGCCTTCAGTGCAGGAACATTGGGGAATGGTTGAACTTTGCATTTATAATTCAGTTTCAGGTATCTGACTAGACCGGCATTAAAGAGGCCTGCGCCTGTAAATGGACTGTTTTCCAAATCACTGGCTTAGCTGTACAGAACAAATTGTATTTCATGCTGCAAGCACGTCTGAGATAAAATTCTACACGAGACTACTCAGCTGAGCCATTATGACTGTTCAAAGTTGTGAGAAGTGTTATGATGGATGTGTGCCAGGGTTTTAATGTGTACCTGTCATAATAGACTGATATTTTATGATTAATTAGCACATCACAATTTGCTCATTTACAGGTGCTGCTTGGAGATATGCTTTCTTTTAAAGGGGTCGTGTATCAAAATTTGAAAGCACTCTCAGTAGATTGTTAAGGATCACCATTAATGTTAGTGATGAATGTTTTAGTTATTGGCGCTCTTTTGTACACTGGTCACACAGTTCTCCAGACACGTCAATCAACAGCCTCGCAAGCCGATAGGTTTTCTGTCAACAGTGATACACTGTAACCTGTTCTACGGTAGCGAAAGGGAGAGCTCATGAAGGAAATTTCAGTCTGTGCAGAGAACCAGGTGACACAGAGGGCAGCCAATAAGGTATTCACTGGATTGGCATCAGGTTACATGCACCATGTTCATTCTGTGTGTGCTTCTATTAGAGCTTAGCACCCTGCACTGTTTTGTTGTGTTTTAAAGCAGAACCAAATAATTTATTTGTTTACTACAAATAGTGCATATATGCATGCTTGCAAATCTGTGTTACCTTTTGCTTTATCTATATTATATATTCCTTATATTGTAAAGCGCTGAGCAAACTGTTGGCGCTATATAAATCCTGTATAATAATAATAATAATAATAATAATATGCTACAGATTCTTTTCTGTTGACTTCCTCAGCAATAGTTGGAGTTGATGAAGGCAGTGCTACTGTCTGAGACAAGCAAATTAATCATTCCCTTACAGGAAGTTCTCTGCAAGAACAACGTTTATTCTTTGCCAAGAGCTGGGCATCCTCCGTCTCTCCTACTCTTTCCAGCCACTTGTGTTTATGAATATAGGTGCCTATCAAATGAAAAGGTAGAACACAGGGTGGAACTAGGGGGAGCCACACTGTTCTGTGCAGGGATGGTCTCTGTAGAAGCATAATGACATAAGAGGAAGGTGTGGAAAGCTTATGACCTCTGGACCTTGCAGCCAGCAAAGGAGAAGCCAAGAGATCAAAGAGAATACCGGGTCATGCTGCCATGTCTGCACAGCAGATGAGAAAGCCTAGTGAGAATGCCAAGTATACCAGCATGTACTATTTTTAACTTGTGGTTTCATTTAATAAAAGAAACTTAAGAAAAAGCAAAGCTCCTTACTGTTGAACCTTCCTACCAATTAAGAGATATAGAACAAAAGCCTTGTTATTCCTGTGCAGCAAAAACACTACTTGCAGGAGGGAAGAGAGCACAGGGTAGGCATCATGTGCGATGTTCATTAGTAAACCAAGGAGTAGGGGGCAGGGCAGTGGCACAGAATCTGCCGAATATCAGGCTCTGTAATGCTCCATCACCCTTCTTGCATAGCTCCCAAGCTCCCAAATCTGGAGGGACTCTTCCTCTTTTGCACTAGTAAATAGATGATATGTCAGTTCATGACAAATCCTACTACCTGAAAAAAAAACACTCCTTATCAGCTTTATAGCCCACCATTCAGGGTTGCATAGTAAAGCACAATAAAGTTCCAAAGGGCATATAGGGGCATATAGGGGTAAACAGTCCATAAAGCAAAATTGAATGACAAATTCTGTATTGATTCCAAAAGATCAGATAAGTAGGAATTTCCATCAATTGCATCAGTCCATAAGTGCTTAAGTGCTTTCTTATTGGCATGCTTGTGTTACATGTTTGCATGATAGTATGGATATTGCAATCCCAGTTTTCAGTAATCAGTATACACAAGAACAACTCCAGGATAGTTGACAGGAGCTTCTGTAGTCCGCAAGAGCCAGATTATCACCATTGCATCCTTTAAAGAAGAACTATGAGGTGAGTGCTTTCCACTCACCTCATAGTTCTAGCCGACCTGTGACAATGAGACTGTCACAGCTCGGCTTAGTAGATCGGGAGGTGAGCGAACACATACCGGCGTTCCCTCACCTCTCAATCCTATCATGGCTCTCTGGCGGAACGGACAGGGGAGGGGGCGGGTACAGCTGGCTCTGCCTCCAGTCACGCAGCTGGGCGGATCCCGACACAATTGTCGGGATCCGCTTCAGCTGCTGCTAGTGGTATTCTGCGGCGTCACAGTAGCTCGCGGTATACTGAGCCTAGGGTGACGGGAGGACGCTAGTTTGTGTCCTCCCGTTACCCTAAGGAGAACTATGGGGAAAAGCCTTAACCCCATAGTTCTCCTTTAAAACTACCTTAAAGAGACACCCACGCAGTGCAAAATCACTGCTAAAGAACCCCTCCCCCAATCCCCTTATAATCACTATACTTGCAATTCCTTGCCAATTCTTTCTCCATTGCTATTGGGTGTGGAGCAGCATGTGACCTACTCTCCTGGGACAGTGCTCAGGCCGAGCAGCCAATCACTAGTCCCGTGCACTGTCACATGAATGGAGGAGTCACCACTGATTCTGGTGGCTGGCACTGGTTATTTAGCATTGGTTGTGACAGAGGAAGCAGCAGAAAAATAGCGCAGGCAAGATGAGTATAACCAGCTCAGGGGATCCCTTTGCAGAGACACTGCTACAGAGACACTGTTACTTTGCTCTTAATGGGCAACAAGGTGACAGTGTCTCTTTCATTTCGCCTTCCCTTTTGGGAAATGGGAAAATGTGGGTGATGGGTAAATGTAGCTATTTTAACTACATGCAGTTGAGTCAATACGGAAGGAGAATAAAACCTCTCTGTTTTACTCATCCCAACTCATAAGTATGGATGAGCTCAGGTTCAGACCAAACCCGGTCCAAACACAGAAGGAAACTCCTTCCACTGACGTCCAATCGGCGGAAAACCCTGCCAGCAGCTGCACGTAAGCAAAGGGGCAGGATGCAGTGGCCATATAAAGTAAATGACATCAGCACAAGCATCCCTTCCCTTTGTTAATGGTCTGCTGTGGGGCAGAGAATTGCCCAACCCGCAGCTGATTGGGGAGAGGCCAATGTAGCTTCCATGCTCAGAGGAGCTCATCCCTACTCATAAGAAAAGAGTTGAAATTCAGACTGGATATTGATGCAACTGTTTTCCTTCTATCCCAACTACATAAATCAGTTCTGAGTAGTTGGCCAGAAAATGCTCAACTTTTTGTGCCTTGCACTAAACTTTTAATTAACAAGCAGCATTTTCCAACAATTCCCGGCTAGTACCAGGTCAGAAAATTGACCAAAAGTCTTATATATGAATCCA